TTGGTATAGAGTTGTATTTTCTCTCCTGGTTCATGAACCTTATGGAAAGCATTCAGAGCTGTTGTATGGCACAAAGACAAGATGTGTTTGTCATACATAGCCTGAGCCTGTGGATCAGCATAAACACTCTCACTAAGAATATTATCTCAGGTAGCTTCATAACCTTTCTTTATGCCTTAAATCTTGAGGGATTTTCTTCTTTCTTCCATAAAGCTCTCCAATGTATTTGAGATGAATTTTCAACCACTGCTGAGGCCAATTGACTCCAGTCTTTAGGGGTCACTCTATATTGCACTTGCCCAAGAGTTCAGAAGTCCTCTGACATAGGAGGAATGAATACCATATGAAACAATGGCTTCTTTGATTCCCTTCAAGTCCTTCATCTGTATTGGTTCCCACTGATAAGCAAGGAAGCCATTCGGATGTGTTTTCATTGCTGGTTTTTCAGTCATAGATACTGGGAAGACCATAGAAGAGGGCATAAGAACCTTAGGGAGGGCTTTCCAGCATCTGAAAGGTGTAGGTAAACCTACCTGTTGCTTGTATGCCTGATTCTGATGTATCAGACTGTTTCCCTGAATGCTTGAAGTTCTTGGGTCAAATAAGTTTCCAAGGACTTCATAGAATCTGTCAGTTTCTTGGATTCATTATTTGCTCGATTCCAAGCATTTAATATTCCAATCCTTAGATATTATCTGAATAGTTGGTCATTAGCGTCAGACATGAAATGAATTTTTCTGTGAGTTTTCCAATATAAAGTTCTAGTTTCGAGTTTTATTAATTGAGTCATCAGACATCGAATGAGTTTTTTTTTCTGTTGGCCTCATAATGTCACCCTGAATTGATCCTATTTTGGTCATTATGGCAGCAGTCATGTTACCAATCCTGTTTTGCAGGTGGCTATTTTTAAGTTCTCATTTATCTACCTTGTTAGACATTTCCCCATTGTCTTCAAGATTTTTAATTCTTTCCTATAGTTTCCCAATAGTTTGTACAACTTTCTAGTCTTTTACCCTATTATCCACCCTTCTCTTCCAGGATATTATATGGATTATGTACTAATCATTAGCACTAGGTAAAGATGTTTTATGGACATGTCATAATTCTCTCCCAGATTGTCATTCATATAAGTAGCAATGGGATTCCTAATGTTCTGCATTGTAAGATTATCCACCATTGATATAGAGTAATTAATCTTATCACCAGCATAAACTACCAGAATGTAAAGCTTACTGCCAGTTATCTCAGGTTGTGGTGTGGATTTAGACAGCAGGTGGCAGAAGTGTACTGCCAAACACAGATCTGCCCCAGATGCTTGATATTTTCCAAGTAGAATCTGAAAATATCTAAGTAGATTTTTCAGAAATTTAGCCAGCAGGATTTTGTTAAAAGGAGGGAAAAGAGCCCCGTGCGAATTGCAGCGACCTGTGGGAAGTAAGGGGAGAGAACACGGCATGGCTTTTGTGGCACTCATTCTGGCGGTGTGGAGCAGCAGGAATCTCAGCTGGGCCCCAGTGTGACAGCCACTCTAGGGTAGTTTTAGCTAAGAGCTTGTGCAGCAGGGTTGCTCCATGACTGCCTTGCAGCTCCTGGCTCTTTCATGTGGACAGCAACAGCCGAGAGAGCCTTATAGTCGCTGTGGCCAGGGGAAACCCAGGTTTGTATGACTGCTCAGGGGTGCTCGCTCAGCAAGCTCTGTGGGGACTGGGACTTGTTGGGCTAGATATGGGATGCTCACCTTAGAAGTGTTGATTTCTGGGTAGGCAGGAGGGCTGCGGTCTCCAGGAACGCTGGCGGTCTTTGGTGGCAGTGTCTGGCGCACAGTTGAGCAATGGAGAGAAGATATGTACCACTTCTTGCAGCAGTAACGATGTGCACTGCGCAAGCCGCAGGATCTCTGAAGCACTGGAGGGAGGTGATACCGGGAGCTGCTGCAGAACAAGAGAGATGCAATGCCAAGCATTTTTGGGATGGCACCCCTCCCGCACTGGGGAGGGGTGAGGAGGCTTGTTAAGCTTAGTGCCCACTCTTCTCACAACAAGAGAGTATTAGGCTACACAGAGTATACAGGGAAGGGATGTCATATGATCTTTATTAGGAGAAGTCACTTACATGAGAAGCTAAGAACCTGCGGTCAGTGCTCTGCTGGTCTCCGAGCCTCAATCAGAACCCCAAGAAAAGGGTGTCCTCTTCTTCCTATAGCTTTACGCCCTGCCTTCTCAGGTGTGGTCAGTGCTACAAGTACATAAAATCTCTCCCTACAGTGCCTGGATTGGCTTTATTTGTTTTTGTTGTCTTTTTTTATTTAACATTTTCTTTGACTGAACTATTCATTTCTTCTACCTTGTCTTCAATACCCGATCTTCGGTACTATATGTCTTATAACCTGTTGGTGAGGTTTACATCTGAGACATCTGTTTGACTTCCTAAATTCTACACTGCTTTTTAAAATTTTTTCTTTAATTTGTATTTTCATTTATTTTTATTTTTATGTTTTATTTTATTCTTTTATTCATTTTACATACCAACTACAGTTTCCCCCTCCCTCAACTCCTCCTCCTCCTCCCCCCAACCCACCTACATTGCCTCCTCAGAAAAGGTAAGGCCTCCCATGGGGAGTCAACAAAGCCTGGAGCATCCCCCTCCTGTTTGCATTAAGGCTGAGCAAGGCATCCCACGATATGGAATGGGCTTCAAAACGCCAACTCATGCACTAGGGATAGATCCTGGCCCCACTGCCATGGGCCCCCAAAATAGACCAGGCTACGAAAATGTGGCCCTCGTGCAGAGGGCCTGGTTTGGTCCCATGCAGGCTCCCAAGCAGTCAGTCTAGAGTCTGTGATCTCCTACAAGTTTGGGTCAACTGTCTCTGTGGGTTTTCTTTAGTGATTATATTTGTACTTTCGGATCTTTAACACTTTTCATTACTTCATTCAACTGTTTCTTTGTGTCTTCAGGGTCTTCACTGAGGGATTTATTCATATCCTCATTAAGGTCCTTGCACATATTTATACTTTTAATTTTGAAGTCCTTCAGACATATTGACTTTTTCAGTGCTTGCTTTAATAGGGATACTGAGTTTCTGATGGAGACATATTGTCTTATCTGCTCACATTTATGTTTTTATTCTTGGATCCAAGCATCTAACATGTTTGAGACATTCCTTAGTATAAATATCCGGTTTTGTCTACATTGGCTACTGTTGCCTTCTAAGTGTCCTAGGCAAGTGTGGTGGCTGCATTGCCCATTTTAGACAGTGTTTCTGCAGGTCACTAAATAGTGTAAAAGAGTGAAGAAGGCTCTGAAGAAAGACTGAGAGGGTCTGTCGAGCACTAGGGGGAAACTGAGTCTTATCAAAGTGTGGAGTCCTCAGGAAGTAGGAAAATGGTCCACCTAGAGTAAATAGTAAAACATCATTTCTATATGTATCTGTCAGGGTATTTCTTTGTTAAGGGTGTTGCCTATTCAAATTGTTGAAATACATACGTTATTTGGCCTTCTCCAATTATGTGGGGTCATCGTTATGTCAACTGAGTTCCTCAGAAAAAAGAAACTTAGGGAGAGGTTGAGTTCATTTTCCACCCATTTTAGTTACTGACATTTTCCTCCCTCTGGTACACATCTATTCCAGGTGCTCAGATTCAGACTAGATAACACCATTTGTTATTATACTATCTGGACATTAATCTAAGCATGGAATTCCTTTTTATCTAGGAAGTAGATAGCAAATAAGGGACTTAAAAGTTCATATTTATATAAAGTTCATATGCAAATTCATAACCAGGATTAATGTAAAACTCATGTCATATTTGAGAAAACTTTTTCTCTTGAAAAAAGGAAAGGCATATAATTGGAAGTTACAGCCTTCAAATAAATCTCACACAACATTAGCATTAATAAAGAAGTAAAAATAATACAATCCACACATCCAGATGAACTAGGAAACAAGGAGGACCCTAAGAGAGAAATACATGGTCCCCCAAAAAAGGGGAAAGGGACAGGAACTCCTGAGCAAATTGGGAGCATGGGGGGAGAAGGGAGGGAGGTAGGAAAAAGAGGAGAGGAGGGAGAAGGAGAACAAAAGGAATCAGGAAGACTGAGTCAGGGGAGGAATAGAGGAGAGCAAGAAAGGAGATACGTTGATAGAGGGAACCAGTATAGGTTTAAAAAGAAATCTGGCACTAGGAAAATGTTCAGAGATCCACAAAGATAACCCCAACTAAGAATCTAAGCAGTAGTGGAGAGGCTGCCTTTGATGCCCTTCCCCTATAATGAGATTGATTACTGTCTTAATTGCCATTCAAGAGCCTTCATCCAGTAGCTGATGGAAGTAGAAGCAGAGATCCACAGCTAAGCACTTAGCCATACTCCTGAAATCCAGTTGTAGAGAGGGAAGAGGGATGAGGAAAGGAGTCAAAACTGTGCTGGAGAAACCTACAGAACCATCTGGCCTGACCTAGTGAGAACACAGGAACCCCAGTCATAAAGCTAGGGAACCAGCATTGGACTGAACTAAACCTCTGAATGTAGGTGCCAGTTAGGAGGCATGGGCAGTCTATGGAACCTCTAACACTGGATCCAGTATTTATCCCTAGTGCACAAATGGACTTCAGGAGCTCATTCCTTATGGAGGGATACTATTTCAGCCCAGATACACGGAAGAAGGTCTAGGCCCTCCCCCAAATGATGTGACAGACTTTGATGACCCCTATATAAGGCCTCACCATCCTTGGGGAGTGGTTGGGGATGGGTTGAGGGGGTTGGTAGCAGACATTGGAGGATGGGAGGAAAAGGGAATTGATAAATAAAATGATAGTTTCTAAATAAAAAAGAAATATTTGAAAGAAATTGGCATTTACACATTAATTCATTAAAATGCTAAAACAGGTGCAATTGGAAGATACTTTAGATACTTTAGATCATGAGCAAAATACAGTTGTGTTAAGCCAACACAAGTTTGTAATAGTTTGAGAAAAAGACAATATTTAGTAACATGAGACCTAAACATTTCTCTTAATGAATTTTTCCAGTGAATCTTTGATTTGCTTGTTTCTCAGACTGTAGATAATTGGATTCATCACAGGGATTATGACAGTGTAAAATACAGAGTCCATCATGTCTTCATCCTGCACTTGTTGAGATGCAGGGAGCAGATACATGAAGAGAAGAGAGCCATAGTATAAAGACACAGACAAGAGATGGGCCCCACAAGTGGAGAAGGCTTTCTTTATGCCTCTGGCAGATTTCTTTTTTAAGACTGTACACAGAACAAGTGTGTAAGAGCCTAGAATAGTTGAAATGGTGAATACTTGGATTGAGCCAGAAAAAATAAAAACAATTAAGTAATTAAGAGAAGGATCAGTACAAGAAATCTTTAGCAGGGGCATAACATCACAGTAAAAGTGGTGTATTATGTTGGAATTACAGAAGGTTAACCTGAATAACATGCCTTCATGAATTGAAGCATGAAGAATTCCGGTTACAAAGGTCAAGACTAGCAGGCATACACATAGTCTGTTTGTCATGATCACTGGGTAGAGTAAAGGTTTGCATATTGCTGCATAGCGATCATAGGCCATTGCTGCCAAGAGAAAACATTCCATGGTTGCACACATTACAAATGAAAAAAACTGTATCATGCATTCTGAGAGAGATATCAGTTTACTCTTAGCTAGGAAGGTAAGAAGCATCTTTGGTGTCACTGTGGATGATAACCAAGCATCCACAAAGGCTAAACTCCCTAGAAATAGGTACATGGGGATGTGAAGGCCAGGGTCATTCCAGATGAGAGCTATCAGACCAAGATTTCCCACGATGGTGATGAGATAGATCACTAAGAACAGCAGGAACAGGGGAACTCTCCACTGTGGCAGATGAGTGAGTCCTGTGAGAACAAATTGTGTCAGCAGTGTTGCATTCTCTGTTCCCATGTCCTCACTGGATGTTCCTGAAATGAAAGGGCAGCAAACTCAGACAATATTTACTAAGGACTCGTAAAGTGAAATTTTGATAATGTATTTAATATATACCCGTATTTATCAGAATGACCTTTGAATTTGTTCAGTTTGAATATAATAAATGTAATTATTTTTGAAATTTAAGTATCTTAACTCATTAATGTAACTTTAACATGTGAATATTTCAATAGATTTAACAATAATATGATACCTTCTAAATATTCATGAAATATGTAGAAAATCCATTGGTTTGGTAGGAAAATTCAGTATCTGCATTATAGACTTCCTGTTATTACGAAGATGTTTAAAGTTCCTGAATTTTAAAGTGAACTGAATTGTATGGTTTCAGTCAATTAAAATATACTTCCTTGATACAATGAAAACATAATTGATAATGTTAGGAGGAAATATCTCAAATTAATTTTAATTAATTATATAGCAGCAATAAAGTGGGGTTCTGGCAGGAGAAACTAGATTCAACAGTATAGGAAGCTCTTATTCTATACAGAAGTTCCCAAAGCAGATTTTATTTTAGAGTTAACTGGGAATATTTATACAAGAGTAGACTGAGAGAACTGTAGTTCGGTTGTAAAATAAATGGAAAAAAAATAAGTAAAATACGATACAGATCAGAAAAAGCATGCCTCCCTTTCTGGCCCTGTGAAGGCTGACTTTGCATTGGATTAACCATAGTGCTGCCTAGGTTTTAGTTTCAAGAAATAACTAGGCTCTCCTGCCTAGTTAGACTACAGGCCTATGGGTGGGTGGGACGACAAAAGTCATATTGCCCCTATTGCAAAATCCTCTTAAGCAAATTAAGTTTTCAGAGTAAGCTGTGTTCCAAAAGGAAAAAAAAAAACAAAAGGTTTAAAGATGTGGCTACAGACATTGTTCAGTAATTTATAAACAATGATCTACCTTTTAAATCTTCTCCAGGTGATTTTTAAATTCGTTTGAAGTTAACTGGTGTGTGTAAGGGGACACTGGAAACTGTTAATGACGACAGAGAGATAAATTGTAAATGATTCATGATGTGAAGCCCATACTGGGTGTTTAATAAAATAGGAGTAACTGTATAGGTCTTTTAGAATTTTGCTTGAGAATTTAGGTGCCCTATTCTGTTGTTACTACAAAGCAAGCAGGAGACACTTGCTAGTATTCAGGCATGTGTACTGGCCTGTGCTTGGGGTTCTGACAGGGTACACCCTCAGCTGCAGCCACTAAGAGCACCACCTGTGCATATTCACTGTGTTCCCTTTTAAAAGGGCTCTGCCCACCTCCCATCCTTCTTTCTTTCTCTCCATCTCTCTATCTCCCTCTCTGTCTCCCTTCTTTCTTCTCTCTCCCCCTCTTTCCTTTCTCCTCTCTCCTGCTACTCCTATTTCTGGAAGCTGATCTCAACCCTTCCTTTCCCATTTCTATGATTCCTTTCACTAATAATAACTAAAAATAATATTAAATAATCCTCTGCTTGAACCCTGTCACATGGCATCGTTCTCTCATGCATCACTTTTCTTAAATTATAACATTAACTTAGTTTTGTTGGATCTACTAAGGCTTAATTGCAATTACATTTGACTGCCTGGATCTCTTTCTCCACATTGCCAGAGTCCAATACAAAGGCTCTGGATGAATGACTAGAGATCTCCAAGTGTTGACAATTAAGAAATTTGTAATGGCCTAGGTGTAAACACCTTACTATGTATCATAGAATTTATATAAAAGTACAACATGGCTAATGAGCAGGAGCCATACAAAAAGGAAATAATATTAAAAATAAGGAATGGTGTAGAATATTCTAGAAACTATGGAGGACAGTTGCCGTTTGTCCAGTGCTTCTAGACAACAGTAAGAACAACTTTTCAACAAAGGATAAAAAGTGACTTGAGTGAAGATGAAAGTAGTAAGAAGAGGAAATCGCAGGAAAATTAGAAAAGGCCATTTGTGTAGGTGAAAGAGAATGAAACGAGAAAGAGGAAGAGTTTGATAAAGGTGTAGCATGCTACCTGTGGAAGGGAAGACAGAGCAGAGAGGAAACACTAGAAGACTGGGAATTAAAAGAAGCCTCAAGTTTCAGAGACTTGGCATTAATGTTTGTCATTGCCTTGGTATTTATTTGCTACAGCCAATACTGAGCATTTTAACCAAGGACAACATCCCATGAATGAAGAGTCATCCTACAGAATGGGGAAAATCTGACAGAAGATCAGTATCTAGACTATACAAAGACCTTTAAAAACTAAACAGCAAGAGAAGCAATAACTTAATTTTTTAAAGTGGGGCATGGGAATAAAGTTCTCAAAAGAAACACAAAGGGCTGAGAAACACTTTTTTTTAAATGTTCAAAGTCCTTACCTATAAGGGAAATGAAAATCAAAACTAGTTTGAGATTTCATTTTACCCCAGCCAGAATAGCCAAGATTAATTAAACAAGTGACAACATATGCTGATGAGAATGCAGGAAAGAGCAATGCTTATTCTTTGCTGCTGGCAGTGAACACGGGTGTAGCCACTATGGAAATAAGTATGGAGCTTCCTCTGAAGCTGAAAATAGATCTACCACAAGAGCCAGCAGTATTGCTCTTAGAATATACCCCAAGGGCCCTATGTCTTACTACAGAGGTACTTGCTTTTCTTTCATTCAAGGGAAAACGTATTTTCCTATAGAACATACATCACTAAAACATAAATATTAAAATTCCCTTCACTATGTTTGTGTGGTTCATGTTTAAATACATATATACAGTCACTGCTCAAGATTTCTTCCTGTGTTTATATGCTGATTTTCATTACAATTAAAAGAATTAGAAAAACATTTTCCTAGAAATCTTATAATATTTCAACTTGAGAACACATACTCACTTCACCAATTAATTTTATCCTGTTGTTCTAACAGAATAAAATTAATTAAATTGATTCCCATATACTGATGATAAATACAGTGCCAAAATTTGTAAATATTAGGTAAATTCATATTTCTCCTTCAATACAGGCTGAATTATTACAAAAAAATCAAAATCTCAAATACCTTGGCATATTAAATTGTGAATGTAGGAAAAAGTAGTGAGAAATATTTTCTGCATGTTTCCTATATCTATTTCTCTGTGTGCACCAAAACAATACTCCATGAAACATATTTAATACATGTTCTATGTTATATATTTACTCACATATAATACAAAGCTTTCCCTATTACTTAAAGAAATTATTAGAAGTAAAATAATAGAAAGGAGAGTGAACACTTTTCATTACTCACCTTGAAAAACTTAGTCAGAAAATGTGAGTAAATAGAACATAGTCCATCTTTGTACTGGAAATCGTCTTTAATTATTGCTTATATAGCAATAATTATTACATGGCTCTTTTAAATTAACACTCTAATCCCTGAGAACTTAAAATTCAGTAGTTACTTTAAAAATTAAAAGTATCATTTAAGAGAACAATTCCAGCTCCTTTGCTTATTTGTATTAACCCAGGAAGTTAAAATATACATATAATTCATTGTTGTTGCATCCCTCATTTATACCAAGGTGTGTAGGGATCCAAAGCCAAATATAAAATTAGTATGAAAGAAACAGCATTCTTAATTCTCTAGGGAAGGGATGTTGCATGTTGTAGAACTCTTTCCATCTGTATCTCAAAAAGACATCGCTATGACCTTTGGGAGCATTGTACTTTCCAAAGTAAAACGCAGTGGAACAGCAAGGCAGTACCATAGACAGAAATTCTTCCCCTGGTGACACTCTTGAAATTTCCATTGCCCAAGCACAGGAAACTTTGTTTATATGAGCTTCCTCTCAACAAAGAACCTAACAATTGCATCCCTGTCTGATTTTTCCAGAAGACGAATGGCTAGAGAACTGGAATTCCCAAAAGCCTGGGGTTCTCTGGAGGACCAGGTGAGGCTGCTCTACTGGGCACTGTGGGTTTGGACGCCTAAAAGAAGTCCAAATTGGTCCCTTAGGGCATCACACACTTTATACTAATAAATATCCGGTGCAGTAACATATTAGAATTTTAATACCCAAAAATTTTCTACTTTAGACTATTATTTTCTCTCAGAGATGGCAAACTTTATCTGTTTGGACAATTTGTATGATGAAATTTCATACTTTGAAGGCTTTGACTAGGATTGTTTTGTGTGAGTTAATCAAAAAATGACTTATTACTAGAGATCTAAATCTCAGCTCCTTAAACTATGGGGTTTGATCCCCTGTGGGATCATGACATAGTTGCCAACTCTGAAAAAGTCTTCTGGATTCATAACAACCAAGAATTGCGTTTTTCACATTCAGGCTAGTAGTGGACCTGTGACGTTTCTGACAATGCTTGCAGAGTTGCACTGGGACTTCATTAAAGTCTTGATACTGAACTCAAAAGTAGAACTTCAGACAACTGAGGGGAGTGGGAGAAATTGTCTTATCTAGGGAAGCACACACTGGCTTGTTATCCTACACCAACAGTTCATCCCTAAAACATACATTTAAGTAACATCATGAAGACAGAGCAGGTTGTACTTATGTTCTGAGGACTATAAACACACAGACAATATACAAGGGAGGCATAGATTTGAGAGAGAGCAAGGTGGGGTATATAGAAGGCTTTGAAGGGATGAAATGAAAGGGGAAATGATGTATTTATATTATAATGTCAAATAGTAAAAGAAGTAATTGTTTTTAAAAGTATATATTCATCAGGACAAGCAAGACCAATAAACTCATTGTGAAATAGCTTCATTCAGATTCCAGATTATTGGATGTTATGAATTGCTTTGTTGTTACTGCTCATGCAAAGTTTTTCTGCTCTTACAGAAACATAATGGTTTAATTAATTTTCTTCTACCATCATTTCTCATCACACAAGGTTATTATGAAATAAAAAATGTTAGGAGGCCCTAATACATATACCTTTCAGAAATCAATCTTGTATCTGCAGGAGAATTTGATTTGCTTCCATCTATCAGTAAATCAGTATTTCAT